TGGTGCAGATGCTATTTGTCCATACTTGGTTTTGGAGGCCGTTATGAAGCTTAAGCGAGAAAATGCTATTAAGGATGACTTGCCGGTTGAAAAGATTATCTCAAATTATAAGAAAGGCATCAACAACGGTATATACAAAGTCATGTCGAAGATGGGTATATCAACGTTGCAGAGTTACAAAGGTGCCCAGATCTTTGAGGCTTTGGGTATTGATGAAAGCGTTATTGCTCGATGTTTCGCGGGTACTGCTAGTAGAATAAAGGGTAAGCTTTATACACTCTACGTTAACCTGTATACTTTTGTTTGCATCGATCGGATGTTTACAAACGTTCGTTTATGTTTTAGGTGTGACATTCGATCTTCTAGCACTTGACGCCATAGCAGTCCACGAGCAAGGTTATCCATCTCGTGACACTGTAATTCCTCCAGGCCTTCCTGAATCTGGTGAATATCATTGGCGTGATGGTGGTGAGCATCATATTAACGACCCAGAAGCTATAGCCAACATCCAAGATGCTGTGCGTATGAAAAATCAAAGTGCATACGACAAATACTCCCGCAATCAGCACGAGCAGATCAAGAATTGTACACTTCGTGGTCTATTAGATTTCGATTATGAAAATTCAAAATCCATACCTCTCGAACAGGTCGAACCATGGACCGAAATAGTCAAGAGATTTTGTACTGGAGCTATGTCATACGGATCTCTCTCTATGGAAGCACACTCAACCCTGGCAATTGCGATGAATCGAATTGGCGGCAAATCAAATACAGGAGAAGGTGGAGAAGACCCGGAACGTTCGATACCAAGACCCAACGGCGACTCACTACGGTCGTCTATCAAGCAAGTAGCGTCCGGTCGTTTTGGTGTAACTTCATATTATCTCTCTGATTCAGATGAATTACAGATTAAAATGGCGCAAGGTGCTAAACCCGGTGAAGGTGGCGAACTTGTTGGCAACAAAATTAGCAAACAAATTGCATCCACTCGCAAGACTGTTCCAGGGGTTGGGTTGATATCTCCTCCTCCACATCATGACATTTATTCTATTGAAGACTTGAAACAGCTCATTTACGATCTGAAATGTTCCAATCCACGTGCTCGTGTTTCTGTAAAATTAGTATCGGAAGTGGGTGTTGGTATCGTTGCTTCAGGTGTTGCGAAAGCCAAGGCTGACCATATTTTGATTTCTGGTCACGATGGCGGCACGGGTGCTTCTCGTTGGACTAGTATTAAGTACGCTGGCCTTCCATGGGAACTTGGTTTAGCTGAAACGCATCAGACTTTGGTATTAAACGATCTTCGTGGACGTGTAATAGTCCAAACGGATGGTCAGCTTAGAACAGGTCGTGATGTCGCCATAGCTTGTTTGTTAGGTGCTGAAGAATGGGGATTCGCTACTGCACCATTAATTGCTATGGGTTGTATTATGATGAGAAAGGTATGTAATATCGAATATTCGCTAGAAAATTTGAGAAAATGTACTAAATTTTCTTTAACGATAATAGTGTCACTTGAACACATGCCCAGTTGGTATCGCCACCCAAGATGCTGAACTCCGTAAGAAATTTGAAGGACAACCCGAACATGTCATTAACTTCTTTTATTATGTTGCCGAGGAATGCCGGCAGATAATGGCCAAACTAGGATTCCGCACTATAGACGAGATGGTTGGCCGCACCGACAAACTAAAAGTCAACGAATCGTTCCGTACCCCCAAGACACATAATATAGACCTTTCGCCTATCCTAACTCCGGCCTTTACTTTACGGCCTGACGTTGCCACACATAACATTCGCAAACAAGATCATAGACTCTATGTTCGTCTTGACAACAAACTCATAGATGAAGCGGAACCTGCAATAACAAAGAAACAACCCGTCGTTATTGACTGCTCAATTATCAATACCGATCGTGCATTCGGTACAACACTTTCTAATCATGTATCCAAACAGTTTGGCGAGAAGGGTTTACCTGACGATACAATACATATAAACGTTAAAGGCTCTGCTGGCCAGTCTTTTGGTGCCTTCCTTGCTTCGGGTATAACGCTCGAATTGGAGGGGGATGCAAATGACTATGTCGGAAAAGGACTTTCTGGTGGTCGCATTATAGTATATCCACCCAAAGTGTCTGTCTTCAACTCAGAAAAGAACATCATTGTAGGAAACGTGTGCTTATATGGTGCAACTTCTGGTTATGCGTTCTTCCGTGGTATTGCAGCTGAGCGTTTCTGCGTCCGTAATTCCGGCGCTATTGCTGTTGTAGAGGGTGTTGGTGATCATGGATGCGAATACATGACGGGTGGTCGTGTTGTTGTCTTAGGATCCACAGGCCGTAACTTTGCTGCTGGTATGAGTGGTGGATTCGCATATGTGCTAGATACAGCAGGTGATTTCAAATCCAAGTGCAACACCGAAATGGTCGAGTTGGGCACCGTTAACGACCCCGAAGAAACCGTTTTCCTTCGACGATTGATCGAAGACCATCGTCATTATACCGGATCAGAAGTAGCCGACCGAGTACTTAAGAACTTTAATCAGTATCTTCTACGATTCGTTAAAGTTACGCCTACCGAATATAGACTTGCATTAGAGAAGCAAAGACTCTTGGATGAAGAAGAAAAGAAAAAAGTGGAAAAAGTAATAGCACCAGAGGCCCAAGTTTCCGCCAAGAACGAACCAAGCATAGTTGACATTGAAGATGCTCAAGTAGACGAGGCGACGGCAAAGAAAAGATTAGAGACAATAGACAAAGTGCGTGGTTTTATGAAATACAAGAGAAAAGTTGACAATTATCGTAATCCTCGCAAGAGAGTTAAGGATTGGAAGGAAATCAACGCTCGGCTTAATGAAGCGGATCTCAAAGTTCAAGCAGCTAGATGTATGGACTGTGGCGTACCGTTCTGTCAGTCTGACACAGGATGTCCAATCGGTAATATTATCCCGAAGTGGAACGACCTTGTATTCAGAGATCAATGGGAAGATGCACTCAATCGATTGATGATGACTAATAATTTCCCTGAATTCACTGGACGTGTATGTCCTGCTCCATGCGAGGGTGCCTGTGTTCTCGGTATCAACGAAGCACCTGTCAGTATCAAATCTATCGAGTGTGCTATTATTGACAAGGGATTCGAAATGGGTTGGATCGTACCAAAACCCCCTTCTATGCGTACTGGTAGGAAAGTTGCTATTATTGGATCCGGTCCTGCTGGGCTTGCTGCGGCTGATCAGTTGAACAAGGCTGGACATGAAGTCACCGTTTATGACCGCAATGATCGGTTTGGTGGGTTACTCATGTACGGTATTCCAAACATGAAACTCGATAAAAAAATAGTCCAACGACGTATTGACCTTCTTGCCGCCGAAGGAATCAAGTTTGTTGCGAACGCACATGTTGGTGTCAACGTCGATGCCAATAAGATTCGTCGCGAGAATGATGCACTTATTGTTGCAACTGGAGCAACATGGCCACGCGACTTACCCATACCCAACCGTAACCTCGATGGTATTCATTTTGCTATGGAATTTTTGCAGCTGAATCAGCAATCTCTGCTCGACTCGAATCTGGAAAATGGGAAATACATTGAAGCCAAAGGCAAGAATGTAATTGTCATCGGTGGCGGTGACACCGGTAACGATTGTATTGGTACAAGTGTCCGTTTGGGTAAGTAGCGGTTCTTAACGCTTTGGGCATTTCTGACTATTTCATCAAACTTGAAAATCAACGAATCTCACTTATTTTACTTTATTGATTAGGTGCTAAATCGATTTTGAACTTTGAGTTACTTCCACAACCCCCCGCAAGTCGTGCTCCCGACAATCCATGGCCGACGTTCCCGCGCACATTTAAAGTCGATTACGGACATGCAGAAGTACAAATGCAATATGGTCGTGATCCTCGTGAATATGCTATTCTTACCAAAGAATTCATATCTGATGGCAAGGGACATGTATCTGGTGTTAATACTATACACGTTGAATGGACAAAAGATGCCTCGGGACGATGGCGAATGAAAGAAATCCCCGGCACGGAGAAATTTTACGAGGCTGACCTCGTCTTGTTGGCTCTTGGATTCTTGGGTCCGGAGGAGAAATTGATTAATAGTCTTGGGCTTAAGACAGATGCACGAACGAACATTCAGACAAGCAAGGGCAAGTACTCAACAGTGGTACCTGGCGTGTTTGCGGCTGGTGATTGTCGACGCGGACAAAGTTTGATTGTATGGGGCATTAATGAGGGTAGACAGTGTGCTCGCGAAGTTGACCAATATTTGATGGGTGATACTAATTTGCCAATTACTGGTGGAATTAAACAACGCTCTCTAGAGTCGTTGTCTCAAAAAATGCGTGTTGGTCTCGTTATATCAAATTAAAAAGGTTTATAATTTCTTGTTATCGCGATAGATTTTTACATAATTAGCGGTATAATATGGTCTATTGTACAAATTATGGACTTTTTGTCTGAACTTAATATTTATTATGTAATTTTTATATAAATAGCTATAATCTTTTTGTACAATTGCACGTCATAAAACAGTAAATATCAATAAAGTCACTGTGAAATACAAAGAGTGTAATTGCATATATATATGCCTATGATGTGAAAATGAAAAGAGTATCGATTCGTCAAGTGAAAGGATTCTTTTAAAGCAGAACAGCCGAGACCTGTTACGGGCTATTTCCGATCCATCTTTACTCTTCTTTTCCCTCACATATGACGGATTCTTTTCATGTACAAGTTCATAGTTCAATAAACACAAGGGAATCGATATCTTCAGATGAACGGCCTCTATCATTCTACATACAGTATAAGGAAGTAAATAACCGATAGTCCACGAAAATCACTGCTTGCAAATTCAAAGATGCGAGCGACACGTGCTCAATAATTCATTGTCTTCTTTCCTGATTTAACATGTTACAATACAGTAAATAATGGATGATACAACTCCTATGACAGTGACCAATATAAGCTCAATCTAATGGTGACACGTGAATCATTCGTCCTTCTTTGTACTAGTTCTTCCGTATTCCTTTTCAACATACTCTAATCCCCTTTTAACATACACGCCGCCTTCTTCATAGACAACGCACAGAAATGCGTGTACGCAGAATATCAAATATCCAACAAAATATACTGTCCACTCAAATATAATCCACAATACTTTTGCAGTTGCCCATGCTTTCGTCAATTCGACTCGTTTTCCTCCAACATAGGTTGCATCGGCTATTGCAAAAGGCGGCACCGCTCCTAACATCACTGCAGCTCTTAACCCAGATGTAAATCCATCCTCATGAAATCCATATTTTGTCCATGCGCCACAATATAAAGTATGCAGACCAGGAAGGTTTTGAATTTCATGCAGTTCAGATTGAGCTGCGATTGCTGCCGGAGTGATTAATGGATGTTCATAGTCCCAAGAGGCGAATGTTTTTGACGGAGATGGTTCGTAGATTGAATTAAGAGAGACTAGGACCGGTCCATGTGTCTCTTCTGAAATTGATTGCAAAATATTCATAGAGTATGTTCTAGACAAAAAATGAAGTTCTGTTAATGTGATTTTCCGAAGAATGCAATAAAATTTACGAGAATACTTACAATGACACTTGACTTATGTTGCGCGTATTCTCGTCTGATTTCGTAATGTAATTCCAGGCAGAAAATGCAGATCGACGGGTTGGCATTAACTGAATGAAATCATGCTTTAACACGAAAGTCGAATAAAGCATTCAGTCGTTCAACCATTCACAGTTCAATCCTTACCTCTAAATCCGAATGTAAAACAGCTTTGTTCTTGGAGAATTGAAAATTTCCAAGTATTCTCTTCTCATTTTCCGTGGCTTCACTTCCCAGAATTTCCAACGCCTGATCAGCATGCGTAGCAAGTATCACATAGTCGTATGTTTCTCCAACGTTATTGTTGTCGTTGACAGTTATTTGAACTCCATCTGACGTGGATGTACGCGTTATGCTAGTTATTTTCGTATTTAATCGAATTGAATCTATTTTGGAAGTTATTGCATCAACGTACATTCGGCTGAGTGATAGTAAAATATATATATATATATCAGACGACTTTACAAATTACGTTATCGAAAACGTTGACAGAACTGCAAGCGCTCGACTCGAATGATGTTATCCTCTCATCATGCTCTATCTACCTTCCATTTTTAACAGTAAGCCATTGAACACGGTCCACAACTTGTAACAGACGGTGATTGTGCATGAATTGGATTAGAGTAAGAACGGGGAAATCCATCGAACATTTATCGATTGGAGTAGACCAAATAGCCGCTGTCATGGGCTGCCATGAATTAATTGTGTACAGATCGTAAACTTGGTTAATAAATTGATGGTTTGCACAAATCTCTGCACCAACACAAAACCTTCGCGCATATAGGGTTTCCCTCGTAAACTTACCAAAAGATAATTATCCTTAAATGCCTGAGAATATCCGTGCTTGTCCAACCATTCACCCAGATTCATCCTCCTCTCTTCATCGTCCTCTGATGTGTTTATCAAGTCTGTAGCTCTCCAGTTAAATTTACAGATATCAAAAATCGTTCTCCACATATCCAAACTCAACAGATTTTCCCATTGGCAGAATAAAGTTAATAAATTCTGTCCTGACCACTCAAAGTCGCCTCTATTTCTTGACACAGAAAGAGACATGTTCGAAGGCATATAATCAATTTCTTTGTGGTTGAAAAATCGAAGTAAATTGGGATATGTGAGAGGATTGAATACTATGAAACCAGTGTCCACTGGGATGGAAGTCTTAGAATTAGGTGGAGTATAGTCAACGGTGTGTGTATGTCCGCCAAGATAAGAGCCAGATTCGTAGAGAGTTACATGATGTGGAGAGTGTTCGGATAATAACCACGCAGCACCCAGGCCAGAGACTCCCGAGCCTATAATAGCAACTTTCCTGGGTGTGGTCATTATGATATTTTCGATATTTCAGTACTAGAGAATTCTTCTCTAAATACTCTGAATGTTGTTCATTTGACTAATACAAATGTTAAAGATTGGTGAGACCCGTTTAAGGGGTTCAGCTGGGTGCTGCACCAAATTTGCTCAAGAGCCAATAGAATAAGAACGTCAATAAGCCATCGGGACGAAGGCAGCTGGCGCAAACAAAATATGAGACACAAGTTCGTCAACGAAGAATTAGTATACAAGTGACGCAAATTTAGATATAGATATTGGCGTCATGATCGCGACTGGCTGCACAAATAATTTATCGTAGCTTTGTTATACCAAGTTCTGAGATCGATAATATTATTTTGCGATATCCTTTCTGGTGGCGACATCAAGTCACGAAAGCCGAAAATTTTTCACGTAATCATTAACGACTTTGTCTATACATCATCTTCGTTAACATTATGATGATTTTGCGTATTCTACAGTATGTAACAGACGCGAAAAATAGAATGTTACGTCAGGTTAGCACGCTGGAGTTTGGATATATGCCTCAAAGTCATTATTTACTGTCATTTTGAGAATTTGAGAAGAATGAATTTTCAGTTCTAATATTTTATAATTCTGAATTTATGTGGAAGTGTTTTTATTCTTTGCGTTTGTACAAATTTATAAATGACAATATAAATGAGAATCAATATGAATGAAAACTGTTGTTCAACGTGTGATGTTGACATATATATGAATGTGATTCTGCAACCCTACTTATACTTCTGCTTTGTATGGAAATATTAATATTGAGAGATAATGCTCCCTATATACTATAGTAATAGGTGATGTAAGAACCAATAATTCTGCTTCTGCTGACTGTTTGTGATACGGTCATATTATTGACAAGATATCGACGCGTAACACATCTAAAAATTCATGTGTTACGCAAACAACATTTATGTGACGTCAAGTATTTATACTTGTGTACATAGCAGACTCGATAAGTCGGACCCAGATGGCTGGCTTGGTTATCGAGGGAGACCGACGAATCCACGTGATTTATTTAGTAAAATTTTATTTTTATATGTATTAATGGAAAAACCATTATTCTAATAAATATCCATGCTTGTTTGTGTTGAATACTTTCCTTGGATGCTGCATATTAAGTCTTATGGCATAATCCATTGCTTTTTGGCAAATAATAGCACTCGTTATCGTGTAATTTGATTTATTGGCATAATCCATCCAAGTTTTAACGCATTTTCCAGTACTGGCCATTCACTTGCACGATTTCTTTTAATTGAGTTTGAATCTGCGCTGACCGCAAGCCATCTCTTTCTCTCTCTTTAAGAATATCACCCACTGTCGATTTGCTAATGCCAAATTTTTTGCCGATTTCTTCATTCTTCTTGGATGGATTAGCGATCTTGTACTCATGGAACTCTTTTTTTTTAACATTAGTGAGTGTTTTTAATGACTATTATTCGTTGCAGTAAAGTCGTAACAGAACAATCGGGTATATAGAACCTCCGTACTGTACTATTTAATGAAGCTGTACTAAATAAAATATTACATACCTATATAAGTGCTGTACTGTACCGTTGCATTTGGCCCCCTGTACCATTATCATTTGGTACGGTACGTCTATCATTTCCTCAAATGAGAAAATTTTTTATTGCGCGCTTTCTACTCCCACGACACACACGACTCTTTTTCACTTAATACTAAATACTAAAATGGATGCTAATCTCAACACTACAACAACCGCCTTAGAGGTGAGGTTCTTATAACTATTGGATAGAGACAGCCTTTTCTTTAACTGGGTGT